CCCCTCCTTTTGATCAGTCATTGATCAACTAAAGAAAACAATAATTATAAACTGTCTCAACACAAATCCCCAAAAAACAAACAAACAAAAAAAAAACCAATGTACTAAAATCAGGTAATATAAAAGATTGACGACCAAACTGATACCATCAAAAATGTAAGCAGAACCAAATCATAAAAAGAAAAATGAAATAAACTCATAATAAATCAAAAACAACAAATAAAAATTAATGGAATAAATGTCAAAGGATTTAATGGAACTTACAAATGAACTTCAATTACTGTAAATCTGGATAAATCAATCAGAATAAATGCATAAGGCATTAACGTCTAAAATAACAGACTGAGTAAACCAAACAGCTAATTATTACTAAACCACAAAAAAACTTTCACCAATTTAATTATTAATGTTGAACTAATGTCATAAAAACTTGTAACTTAAGTTTCCACCMCAACAATAAATTTGAAGGAAAAACCCAAAATCATAAAAATAAAACTTAAAAACTCCAAAATCTGCAATAGTAGAGAAAAAAATGCAAACAATGCAAAAACTGAGAACTGAAATAACTAGGAGAAAAAAAAACATAAAAATAAACTTCAAATTCATTTTCATGAGAAATCACAGAGCTCAGTATTACATGGCTTGTGCACCAAGGAACGAATGAATTTAAAATAAAAGAATATGCAGCACCAAAGAAAAGATAAGTAGAAATCAAAAAATTAAAATAATAAAAACAATAAATAAAAACACTACCAAATCTAAAACAGCTCCTCCTTTAAACTTCTAGCTTAATTACAACAACTACCCTAATTGTCCTGTCAGGAATAGATGTGTTAAAAACATTTTACTTTTCAGCTTCCATGGACCTACAATAAACCCAAACAGGAAACAGGAACCTTTACCTGATCTATGTTTTCGTGGCGTGCTGAGCTCGGAGTTGCAGAGAACACCCCCTCCCCAGAATTACCACAAAACTGGAAAAGAACAAATAAATTTTAAAAATGGCTGCCGTTGGAGGAACCTCTGAAAGAGATTCAGCGTGACAATCACCTAACTTTACCAGGAAGCTGTACAGAAGGACAAAACTCTAAGAAATCATAAAAATAATAAACAAAAGCAGAAAATAAAAAACATAAAAAAAAAATACGAACGTGTGGAAGGGACGGGTGACATTCGGGACCTGCCAGAGCAAGTGAGAGCCGTGTACTCAGCAAAAACAGGGGGATAGTWATCAAACAAAAGCCTAGGTTTAGCTGTAACCTCGTGCTCAGGGGAGGAGCAGCTCCATTTTGGTAGCTACTCAGACACATGCAGGACCTTCCTGCAGTGGCTGATGTGGATCCAGGTTGCACGCTCAGCAATTTTAACCAATAAATGGGTRGTCAAAAGCACCTGGAAGGGTCCTAGCCAGTGACTCGCTTTCCAGGACGCTTGTTTGAAGTTTTTCACAAGGATGAAGTCACCGGGCCTCAGGTTGTGGAATGGGCTGTCCACTGGACTGGGTWGGGCAGCTTTTACCTGCGAACAGACAAGAGTCAAACAGAGAAGAGAGTTTAGAAMAGTACCGAAGCATTCTGTCTTCACACAAACCTGAGCTGAAAGTGGTGATRTTGGAGGATGCAGACMCACATTTGKTAGAACTGCAAACAATATTTCAAAAGGACTCRGATCACACCCGTCCTTCCTTCTCGCCCGCACATAAAAGAGTACCAAGGCCTTTGGCCAGGAGAGGCCTGTTTCAGCACAACACTTTGCAAGATTTTGTTTTATCGTGCCGTTCTCTCGTTCCACTGCGCCCCCACTGGCTGGATGGTGGGCACAGTTTTCTCAGGTCAATGCCTAAGTATTGACTTATCTGAGAAATGGCCTCGCTAGCAAAATGTCTGCCGTTGTCACTTGAGATCCTTTCAGGATCCCCCAGCGGGGAATCWTTTCTGATAACAGGACCCTGGCCACATCAGAAGCAGTCTGTTGAAGTAGGAAATGCTTCAACCCATTTTAGCCCCATGTCAACGAACACTAAACCGTATGAAGGGGAGACCTACATACTTCTGAAAACTGAAGTTATGAGGAAAATCACGAGTTCTTCTGTTTTGATAATAATACATTTTCTGTGGAATTATGAGAGAACCACACTTAGGGACAATTAGACTTTTACAAAAGTTGAACTCAACAACATTAACACGCGTCCGGGTTAATTATTAATTTGACAACTTTTCAGGAACAACAAACTTGGCTTAAGTTCTTAAATAAACCATGGTTTGCGGTACCTTTCTTAAGGGTTTTGGCAGGGTATGGGCAGATTAAGAAGTAGGGAGAAAAGAGGGTTAAGGAAGGGGATTTAAGTGTCTTTATCTTATCATTGTGAGGAAGCCAGAAGTGCACGGAGTCTCCACTCGACACAGCCGGACATCGGTGCGCTTAATCAAACAATTCAGCCTCTACCTTTTCAGACAACTTCACATTCAGTTCGGGCGTTGAGGAAGTGCTCGTCAGGTCAGCAAGAGGTCCCGCTTAGGTTCACTTACAGTATAACCCATTTTCCATGTTGTAGTGTCGGAACGGTCGGTGTAGGTATGGGTCGGACCGGTTGGTTTTCCACTGATGTTCCAGTCTGGTTCTAATGGGTGTGTTTTGGGTGGTTAGTGGAGGTGCTTTTTAGGTATTTTGAAAAAAAGTTAATGGGCAAAATGAGAGATGGAAACACATTTGATGAATGACTTTTGAAATTTTAAACATTTGCAAAAGTTTAGCCAATCAGTGACGAACAGTGTTCTGACGGCGCATTTTGGTGTCAGCTGGGGCCAGTTGGAACCACAATGAAGTAGGTGCTAAAAAAAAGTGCCGGTTCCATGGATATGGCCTAATGGAAACGGCTTGGAACCGTACCAAACCGTACCGACACTACACTAAGTGGCACTAGTGGAAAAGGGGCATTACTGTCCATTCCTCTTTCAGACTAAGAGATCTCTCACACAAGTTTTGAAAACTCAGTGGAGTCTCAAAAACATGTTATGGTCACGGCTAGTGGTGCCGAAGACCTGGGATAAGATCAGCTCCTTGGCAAGTGAGCGGAGCTCTTATCCCTGAACGCTGGTTTCTCTGAGGAAGAAAAACCAGCTCCTCTTCGCTTGGAACGAAGATGGTGTCTGAGTTGGGGAGGCTCGTCCGTGTTAGTAAAACTAAAGGAGAGAGAGAGAGGGTACTAAGTCCCCAAGAAACTAGACCCCTCGTAAGTCCCGTCTAGCCCGGACGCTCTAACCGTCCTATCTACAGGCCTAACCTAGCCTGAAAAACCCAAAAGCCACCATTGTCAGAGGGTGTGGAAATAAAAATTAGAATTTCTTATTCAGTGTGCAGAATTAGATATAATTTTGGTAATAATACAACAAAGTTTAGCTCACCGTGTTCCTGCTTAGCAAAAAGCTTCTTTTTTCAGCGTCGATTTGGCCCCCGGGCCGAACCAGGAGCACAGTGGTCCTTAGAGGTGTGTTTTGAAGGAAGAGGAGAAATCAACTCATCAACTCAACCCAACGTAAATTAATAATTTAAAGAGCTGATGACACGGTTTAATTTTATGTAATTTTGGATTAAAATTGAACAACGTTAAAATAGATGGTTCTGTGTGGTTATAAGTCAAGTGGGCTTATTTTTGTGTAAATACCCAATGCTTTAAACATCTCTGCTGAGGAGTTAAATTAAACAGACGCCATGTTGTGACGTCAGCGCCAGAAGGAGAGGCAGGAAGCAGCAGAGGAAGACTCAGCAGGGAAACAGACTGGTATGCCTTTTGATTACAACTAGTTGTTTACAATGTAACGTATCTGAAGTTAATAAAACCAATTTTTCTAGTACACTGGAGCAGTATTTTAGAATTATRTTGTGAAAGTTTTGGTGGATACTGGTCCAACCTCTTCTCTGCTCACATCAAGAAGATATTTCAGATATTATATACTGCAATACGTCCTGATGCATCTCAGTGATCCAGGTAAAAAAATCAAAAGGAAAAAAATTGTATAGGTCTTCTGGA